TTTCTTTCTTTCTTTCTTTCTTTCTTTCTTTCTTTCTTTCTTTCTTTTCCTGTTATTTGGGTCTTGGAGTTTGAACTCAGCTCTTCGGGCTTGGCAGTAAGTGTCTTTACTAGCTGAGCCATCTCCTCAGTCTAGGACAGACATTTTAGGTGAAGGAGGTTAGTATACATCATGGTAAATTAAATGAGAAGCTACCCAAAGAAAGATCACAAATCCCTACAGACAACAGAGACTATCGGGTTTGGTTTTCATTCCCTCACAAAGGGGTAAAATGGAGAAGTCATTTCAATCCAGTTTCCCCAAGTTACACCCCTCTTACCTGTCTGCTCTTCATCCTGACACCCCCAAAAGCACCCTAGCTGGGCAAAGTAGAGACAAAGCATGTCTATGTGGTATGGCACAGTGTCTTTAGCATGCTTCTGGATGACGGGGCATGATTGTAGAAAAAAAAAGTCTACATGTTTTGTTCACTTTTTATTTCCTCTTTTTAAAAAAATAATTTACTTTTTATCTTATTTGCATTGGTGTTTGATCCTCTGGAACCGTTCAGACAGTTGTGAGCTGCCATGTGGGTGCTGGGGATTGAACCCCGGTCCTCTGGAAGAGCAGCTGGTGCTCTTAACCACTGAGCCATCTCTCCAGCCCCTTATTTCCTCTTTTTAAAGAATACAAATTTCCCAATACTCCTTTACAGACAGGCAAGTATGGCACATTTAAACTTTCATTTTGCTTAATTAAAAAATAGCGTGATTATATTCAGAGTGTGTGTATGTATGTGTGAGTGCTATACGCAGTGTATGTGTGTGTGTATGAGTGCTGTATGTATGAGTGTATGAGTGTGCATGAGTGTGGTATATTTGGTATGTGTGTGCTTGTGTATGCATGTGTTAGTGGTATATTCAGTGTGTGTATGTGAATATACGTGAGTGTGTATAGGGTGGTATGTGTGTGAGCATACGTGAGTGTGATGTGTGTATATGGTGTAGGTACTTGCTGGTTGGAGGCAGGAGCAGGACGTCTTCTAGAGAGCAGTAGAGCTGACTATCCAGAGACTTGGCTTGTCAGTGTTCACATTCCCATGCCGCTGCAGTTCTGTGGATGTCTTTCTCTGCCATGTCCATAATCTTCCCTGTTATTTCCTTGCATCAGGGTCTCTTAGAGACCTGCAGGCTTGCCCTTTCAGCTGTGCTGGCTAGGTAGAGAACTTTAGGATTGTGTATCTCTGCCCTCACATGCTGGGGCTACACTTATGTCCAGCTATGCCTGGCTTCTCACGTAGGTGCTGGGAGAATTCAAACTGAAGTTCTTGTGCACGTGCGGTGTTTCCCACCATGGAGATACCTAGCCAGCTCCAGGGGGTATAATTTACAGATAAAATAAGGAACAGTATCATCTCTTGGGAAAAATGAAATTGTTCTTGGTAAAACATAGCTGGAACACTTGGATGAGCATTCAATACAAAGACTTGAGTTCATGCAGCATTAGCAGATCTGCGAGCTACACACACCAAGGCAATGACATTAAAGATACTCAGTGTAGTCTGTGGACTCACAGCATCAGTGAAGTTGAAACACAGAGTCTCAAAGCAAACTTACATTTCTCAAATTCTTCTCAAAAGTTGTCATCAAAATAACAGCTTTCATGAAGTGTGCTATTTTTGTGAACCATCTCACTTGATAAGCAAGGATTACTAGCCTTCCAAAATGGATGAGCCCAGAAATTATGCTAAATAAGAAGCTAAGGGGTGGTGACTGATCTCATTCTAATAAATGCACTAATGTAGTAAAAGAAAGAAAAGGCCAGTAGAAGGAGCACTGAGCACAAAACACACAAAAACACGTGTTCATAGAACAGGTTAAAGTTAACAAGTCATGGCTGAATGCTATCTTCCTTGGTAGTTCTCATTCCCAGCTGTGTAGCTGTGTTCCATGCCACCCACACAGAGCTCCTGACCCAAGTTCCTCTCCCTCTTGGGTTTTAATCTGCACAGAAGCTCAGCTCAGTTCAGCACCGAACACTTTAGCACTGTGTAGGCTGTGGAACCAGACCTTTAGAAACATGTGGCCTGCCCCAAACTTGTAAATTCAAATGTGAAAAAAAAAACAGTGAAAAATGAATGTTTCAGGGCTCTGGTTTGCTGATCATGACATCTATTCTTGGTGAAAAGATGGTCAATCATATTCTCTGACTCAGTGAGCATGAATCTTGTGTTACTGTGGTTTGAATGTCAAGCATTTCCTCAATCTCAACTGTCTGAACACTTCGTCCCCAGGTGGCATTGACGCTTTGAAGGGTGTAGCCTCCTTGGAAGAAGCAGGTCAGTGGGATGAGAGTTTGAGGTTTGGTAGCCTGGCCACACTTCCTGGAACCATGCTGGTCACATGAGTTCCCAAGTCTCCAAAAATGAGTGAATGATTAGTTTGAATCCCACATCAAGTTAAACACTCCCTTCTTTAGATTTCTCATTGTCATGAATTTTCTCAAGCAAGAAGAAAATAACCAATACATGAAAGTAGAGGATGGATGCAAACTTCCACACTTTGCCCTTTGTTGTGGTAGCCAAGTGGAGACACAAGCTGTTTAGTTTTAATAGTTTTAATAAATGAACATTAGTTAGCTTAGGAAAGGATTTAGGAGTTCATATGATAGAGCTTCTACACTAGATGAATGTCATTGGATCTGTGTGTCAAAATAAATTATGACAGTAAGGGAACAGGATTAATGTGTGATCGTGTTGGAGGGGAAAGTGTGGGAGAAGTGGCCAGTGACTGTCACCATTGTGGGGCTTCTCCTGACCACTGGGTGTGCAGACACAAATCTCCAGGCACAGTTTCTGACTTGGGTGATCTAGATGAGGCTGAAATAGAACTTGTTCTGTGGCACAAGATCTAGAGACCACCAATGACATCCAAGCCTGAAGTACATGCTTATGGCTGCCCTTCAGGCTTTGAACACATAAACAACATTGTGCTTCTAGAAAGTTCCTCTGGCTGCATGTATTATATCTAAAAAAATGTTATTCTGTAATTTACAGATATGTTCATCTACATGGAAAGCCCCTTGCATATTTCCCAGAAAAAACATCTGTCTTTGTGGTTCCATATCAGTAGATATGACCCATCTTTGTTTACCTTGGTGAGATTCTTTGTCTCTGGAATTCTGGGAGTTAATCATCAGCTGAAGAAAATCCAATCTTTGCTAAAAAAAAAAAAAAAAGTTTTGGAAGGTGTGTGAGCAGAGAGAGTCAAAAGTTCAGAAAAAGCCATGCTTCTGAGAATAATACTTACCTAAGTCAGGAAATCTCACTGGGGTGCCAAAGCACCTAGTGCACAGAGCAGCTTTGGACAGCAGAGTGCTTTCCTGAGCAAACTCCAGTTGTGTGTCCAGTTGTGCTGGTCTTTACTGCCCTCGACCCTGACTTCTCTGGGTTCTGATCAGCCCTGGTCAGCTCCTTCTTTTCTCAAATGTGCTTACCCAGGAAGAAGTTCTGGACTTCAATCCATGTCCTCCTATCTTAGTCCTGTCTTATCAGTAGTTTTGGGGTGAGCATCCTGAAATGTTTCACTGAAATAGAATGCTATGATTCTCTGAGGGGGAGGTGTCACCCAGTCCTGCCTCCCTGACCTATGGACTTCCTTACTCTGAAATAAAGGCTATTCACAATAAAGCCTGACTACCTGGATAGCCTTGTCTCCACTTCAAGGCAGGAGAGGCCCAAAGTTAATTTAGGTCAGCCAGGCAGGTTAGTAAATGATTGTATTCCTAGCTTTTTAGGCAGGATGACTGAGAGTTAAAGGCAAGCCTGGACTACATAGTCATACTATCTCTCCAAACACAAACAAACAAACAAACCTAAAAATAAGGGAGACTGAACATCACCAGATAATTTAAAATAGATTTCTTTTGGAAAATTCATAAAATAATAGGTTTGGAAGTGAAGTTATTCCTTACCAATGGTAAATTAAAGTATCGGGAAAGTGATGTTTAAAAAGAATAATTTTCCTTTTAGGAAGGGATATAGTAACTCTTGTTCCACATCTATCTATCTATCTATCTATCTATCTATCTATCTATCTATCTATCTATCTATCATCTATTCATTTATTTTACACCCCACAAAATTGCAGCCCCTCCCTTCTCTCCTCCCATTCCAATCCTCCTTCCCTTTTCCCTTTAGTCCCTTCCTCCCCCCTCAGAAAAGAGGAGCCCTCCCCCACCTACCCATCTCAGCACATCAAGTCATATCAGGACTGAACGCATTCTCCACCACAGTGGCCTGGCAAGGCAGCCCTGCCACAAGGAAGTGATCTCAAAGCATGCAAGGGAGTCCTTGTTAGAGACAGCCCTGCTCCCCTTACCAGGAAACACACATGAAGACCAAGCTGTCCATTGGGTACATATGTGTAGGGGCCTAGGTCCAGTAATACATGGTCCTTGGTTGGTGTTTCAGTCTCCACAAACTCCACCACCCGAGGCTCAGGTTAGTTGGCTATGTTGGTCTTCTTTTGGAGCCCCTGTTTCTCTGTGTCCCACATTTTTAAAAGATTTATTTTTATTTATATAAAAATAAATATGTGTGCTTCTGTGTGAGTATGTGCATGTGTGAGTGCAGGTGTCCTGAAGTGACAGAAGAGGGCACTGGGCTCCATGATGCTAATGTTACAGTATTCTGTGAATCCCCCCCTCAGTATGGGTGCTGGAAATCTGGTCCTCTGCAAGAATCGGTCAACTATCAATAACCGAGCCATTTCTAGGCTTCTCATCTAATTATTTTAAATATTTATGTTAAGGCATACTTTAAAAAAATAACAAATTCACCTATCCATGGGTATAGTTGGGTTTTGATACATGCATGTATTGTATGATGTTCAAACCAGGTTAAACATTTTTAGACACATATCATTGATTCAAGATAGAACTTTCAAAGGAACTACCATTCCTCTGATAGCTTTTGGAATTTTTTAAATGGCCTCAATGCACATGGGAGTACATATGCTTTTCACACAGGCTTATGACCAGCAGGAAGATGACTGGATCCTATAGGAGTTTTAACTTTTTGCTCATCCTTTCCCCCTGATATGAACTAAGATCACAGACCTTAATCCTTGAAGAAATGCACCATTAATAATGGTTGTACCATTGTGATTTTCTGGCCCAACATTAAAGTCATAAACTCTGTTCCCAGCATGCAACTCTAGAATAAGCTGAGTTGTACACCCAGAGCAACTTGGACCCCTATTCAAGGATGATATGTTTGCCACCCTGCATACGGTCCGCTGTTTTATCCTTAGCACTGAGAAAATTACAAACTTAACTTTTTGAGGTATATCCATAAAGGTTTCCATAACCCCCTTAACTCATTTATATCCTCACAAATTGCATGCAAGGGATTTTTTATGGCATGTGAAGTTCTCATCTCAAAAATATTTATTTCATGGCACATTGATCATAATATGTATCATTTAATTTAAATGCTTTCTTCCTAGCTTATTTATCTCTCTACTCCCAACTCTTCAGTTTCTTCAAAATATAATAAAAAATGCATTTCTTAGCATAGTCCAGTTTTATATGGTATAGGCACACAATACACATTTTAACACTTTATCAATAAACAAACATCCTCGCGTGACCAGTTATTACCTTTTCTTTTTCTTGCATGCGTTTTTCTTTCATTTGTTCTACGGAAGTTCTAAAAAACCTTATAACATCTCTTGGAAACACGCTGATTTCGAGCATATCATAAACTGGGATAAGGAATGGAAAGAGTACTAGAGGGGAAAGAAAAGAGAAACCATGTAAATATATAATTTACCTGGAATGGTTACACTTGTTCTAAAACTCAGGACAATAAAAGCCATCAGGAGCTCAACCAAGATGCATTCCCTCTATGCTATTGCTCAGGTTCCAGGCCATTGGTGGAAAAGGGCATGCCAATGGATCAGTGATATCAGTGGTGCCTGCTGCATAGTTTCAGGTTAAATTCCTTGACCTCTGACCATTTACATGTCAGGCTAAGGTCTGTTTGGATAAATCAGGCTTTAGTCTATAGTTGCAGCTCATCATGATGTTCAAGAAAGGTCTTTCCGGTCTGGAGAGATGGCTCAGCAGGTAGAGTGCTTGCCCTGTAAATGTGAGGATCTGTGTTCGGTTTCCAGAACCCATGTTAAAGCCACGTGCAGTGTCTCAGCCATGGAATTCCTGGAAGCTGGACAGCCAGTTAGCCCAGCTCACTTGGTGAAGTTCTAGGCCAGTGAAAGAGCCTGTCTCAAATGAGGCAGGAGGAACCTGAGAAATGACACCGAAGGTTTTTTCTGATCTACATACTCTATAAAACTGTGTATGTGCACATGCACGAGCAGATGCAGACAGACAGGCAGGCAGGTGAAGGCAGATAGACATAGAATTTTCAGGCTAGAGATACTATAGTCTCTGTTCTTAACCCATCAGGGAATGAGGCCAGGGTCCAAGTACAGAAGAAAAGTTGGAAAACTAATATGTAAATTAATTATCACTACACTCCTCCATAGCTAAAAGGCCAAAGACCTATGGGACAGTTCCAAATTGTGTTAAAATGAAGAGTGAAAAAAAAAAAGACACAAAATGAACAACTCATAGGGGCTGGAGAGATGATGGCTCAGCAGGTAAGATCATTTACTGTGCAACCTAACTGAGTTTGGTTCCTGGAACCCATCGTAGAAGGAGAGATCTGATTTCCAAATCTTTTCCTCCAATGTTCACAAATAGCACTTCCACTTCCACACATACACAACTAACAACACCAACAGTAATAGTATTAATACCAATAAAGAAAACTCTCACAAGGATGCAGACAAAGCAACATCCAGACGAAAATTTAAGGATGCTGAGGGAAAAAAAAGCTGATCTTAAAGGACAACATGTTACAGGAAGTGCCGCGAAGAGAGAAGAGAGGGGGTGGATAGTACAGACCAAAGCAGAATGTAAGTTAAAAAAAAAAAAACATAGAGGAAGTCAGTTGAAGTGAAAAATGCTTCTTCTAAAATATCTTCAGAATTGGCAAAATGTTAGCTGAGATTGCCCTAGAAATAGTAACAACCCAAATTGCTAGTGTGAATAGTGAATGGTTTAGGGAAATAATATTGATATTAAAACACCAGGGCATATTAAAACATTCTATTAGTAATTGGAAGATTAGAACAGGGCTTTAATTACATAATTTAGCTAGAATGCACAAATTCCTAGAAATACACAAATTATAGAAACTGACTCAAAAATATTTGTGTATCATGTATAATAGACCTGTGACATAATGAGAAAGAATTAGTGAAAGAAGGCTGTCCACAGGAAAAGCCTAAGACCAGAAGATTTCAGTGGTGGATTCTACCAACTATTCACAGATAATCAACGCCCTTTCCCCTAAACACTTCTAAAATACAGAAGCAAAGCATCTCAAAAATTCTCTACAGGTTTACGGAGCTTTAGCCCCATAATCAAACTCACATCGCTCAGAAAGAAAACTAAAAACAAACATCACTTGTAAATATAGTTGCAAAATGTTCACCAAAATAATAAAACATCAAACCAAGTGACTATTAAAATACAGCACACTAATTCAAAAGAAATTTTATTATACCATAACTAAGTAAAATTCACCTCAAGGATGCTCGACTGTGTAATAGAAAGAACATACAGAAACATCCTTCAGGACACGAGAACTTCGGAAGTCTTGGTGGGACTAGCCTTTAATGGCTGAGCCACCCCTCCAGCCCTTCATGAAGTTTTTAAACAATTAGGAAACTAGACATGAAAGGTGACAAATTGTACAATTCTATGTACAGGAAGTTAGAAACTAGACTTCTAATTGCTTATACCTGAGAAAGGTACAGAGTTGATAGCTAAACTCACATGGCTTCTGAGTTGACAAAAAGATCCCACAGCTGACAACAATGAGGACTGTGAATATCTTTAAATATGCCAAAAATCTAGAAATCAGCCTATTTAAATGGGCCATGTGTATGTATGTGAAATAAAGTTCACAAAACTGTAAGAAGTTTACCAGTGGGAAAGGGGGAGGATGAAAGAGGGGAACAGGGAAGTGAGAATGACTAAAATCCATTATAAAGTGCGTGACACTGCTGAAAATAAAATGGAAAAAATGGAAAAAACCCAGAAATAATGCAATGTTCATGTACATACTCACTGAGAGGAAGAATGGATCCAAGAAATTAAATTTCAAGAGTTTCTTCACTTTTTGTACAAAGAGATTTTGTGGGTTGTTGAGGGAATCAACATTTACTCCAAATGATGTGCCTGTGATCACATCCATGCTGTAGGCCCCAAAGATGCTGGAGAGAGAGAGAGAGAGAGAGAGAGAGAGAGAGAGATGAAATTAACATCTGTACCTCCTCTTATTCCTTCTAACACACACAATGGATCAAATGGGGGTAAATTCACAAGCCAAGGCAAGGCAGAAACTGCCAGAACCCCTGGTGTGGTAGATCTAGGCCCCTGTCACACTTTCTGGTGAGAAGTTTATCAGATGGCAGTGTCGAAACTATTCTTGTGCTGGGCTGTGGGATACCGTGAGGGTTAGTTTTCGTTGTCAGCTTGACACAATGTAGACTAATTTGGGAAGAGATTCTCAGCTGTCTGTATGGAGCTGGTATTTGGGGATGTCTGTGAGTCATTGCCTCGATTTTGCTAATTAATGTGGAAAGAGCCAGTCCACTTTCCCTTGAGTTTGGGTCCCTTACTGCCTAAGGGTAGAAAAAGTGAGCTGAATACAATGTGTGTTTATTTCCTCTCTGTTCCTGACTGTGGATGTGACTACGGACTTCAAGTTCCTGCCTTGACTTCCCTGTGATGTTTGACTGGAACCTGGAACTGTAAAATATTATGAACTCTTTCCCTCCATAACTTGTGTTATTTTTAAATTCAAGATATTTTTATCACAGAAAGAGATATGATTACAGTAGACATCAAGAGACACGGAAAAAGAGAAACTTATAATCAGATAAACTGCATCACTGTGAGCATGGATGACAGTCAGTATTACCATTCCCTACCACGACAATGTCTGTACCTAGGGGACTAAGAAAGAGAACATTGTATCGGGTATTTGTATATCACTGATACTTGTGTCCAAAGCCTATTCATCTTCAGTACAGCACATAAAAACTGTTATGGATTTCCTGGATCACACCCCATGCTCAAGGTACTGATAGATCTGCTATTCCTCAGTTCTAGGGAGCTGATGTCACCCCAGAGGCAGAAGTGTTACTGTAAGTTGTGAAAGTCAATAACATTCCTGGTTAATCACAAAAAATTCTCTGCACAGGTGTAAAAGGAAAACCTTCACTTTCATGCTCACATGTTCCTCATTTGCCAGGAGGGTTGAATATTATATCAGTGTTTCTTAAATAACTCAAAAGGCCCGAGTTTATTAAAAAAATATCCTGATTACAAAGCCCACACTTCCCTCTTTAAGAACGGGATGGAAGAGAAACAGCGGGATGGCTACACCTTCATTTATTGACTCTGGGTGCATTTTGCATGTATGTGCACCTCCCTCTGTAGTGGTGTGTATGCATGTATGTCTGTTGACGTGGCACACTTGTGCCGTGACATGCATGTGGAGGACAGCTTGCGTGAGTCAATTCTCTCCTTCCTCCACATGTGTCCTGAGGATCAAGCGCAGGCCTCAGTGTTGGTGTAGTAAGCGCCTTTACCCACCGCGCCATCTTGCCGGTCTCAGAGAAGACGTACTGTTTCACTGATACTCTCCACAAGCCCATGGTGAGTTATAAATTGTGCTAAGTTCCACATTTTCACTTCTCTTGTGCATGTACAATATGCACCTAGTATGAGCTGAATGTTTTCTATGGAATCTACACTAACAAATGTGCTTTAAATCATGACCCTTTTTTCTAAACTATTTATTTTGTTTTCTAGAATTTCCAAAACAACAGAGAGATTAATTAGAGGGATTAATCACAGCTCCCATATAAAGAAGTGGCATCCTTTCACCTAGAGTCACTTGTGGTGGTTTGAATATGTATGGCTTCCACACACTCATGTGTTTGAATGTTTGGCCCATAGGGAGTGGTGCTATGAGGAGGTATGGCCTTGTTGGAGGAAGTGTGTCATATGCAGGTATGATCAGAGGTCCTGTATATGCTCAAGCTGTGCCCAGTGAGACAATCTCTTTTTGCTGCCTGCTGATGAAGATGTAGAACTCTCAGCTCCTTCTCCAGCACCATGTCTGCCTGCCCTCTTCCATGCTTCCCTCCATAATGATAATGGACTAAACCTCTGAAACTGTAATCCAGCTCCAATTAAATGTTTTCATTTATAAGAGTTGCCATGGTCATGGTGTCTCTTCAAAGCAATAAAACCCAAACTAAGACATCACTCTACTTTCTCCTGGGAGATGTCCTTTTCTTGGAAGGTCTATTATAATGACAGAGTTATAGGAAAGTTTCCAGTTTCCTCTTGTTTCAGCTTCAGTAGAAGACTGAGTTGTTGTTATCAGTTGTAAAACCAACAACTCATACCTGTCTGGCTCCTGAAGGGATTTAACAATGTGAACTTCAGCATTCCAGCAGGCAGCTGTGGTGTCTGTTAACAACTGTTGTGATTTGAATATGAATTATCCCCCATAGTCTCATGTGTTTGAACACCTGTTTCTGAGATCATGGTACTGTTTGGGATAGTTCTGAACTTCAGAAGGTGGAGCCCTGATAGAAAAAGTAGGCTGCTACAGCTGGATCCTGAATCTACATAGGCTGGACTTCCTGTTTCTTGTGTGTTAGATGCAGTGTGGTCAGCTAGCCTGCTGCTCCAGCCACCATGTCTTTCTGCCATGGTGGACATGCAGCCCCTGGAATTGTAAGCCATCATACAGCCTTTCTTTTCCCAGTTGCTTTTGTTGGAGCATTTTGTCATGGCAACAGGAAAGTAACTAATGCGGCAGCCCAGCACCCAACTCCGTTTTGGTACTTACTCTTTCATGACGATGGGATCGCCTTTTTCTACTCCACGCCTCACATTTTCCACCAACAAATCTGCATACTGGTTAATGATGGGGAACATCTACGCATAAAACAAAATGTCATCTGTAGTGAGATGAGGGGCTCAATTTTCAATGGCCTTCGCTTTCCCAAGGACAAAGCAAGATGTCACATTAGCACAAAAGGCCATTGCTAGGAAGTTCCAGCTCAGAGGACACTGCTTGGAAAGGGCTGTGGTCTTCCACTCTACCTGTCCCCAGATCTGTTCTTCATGTTTCCAATGAGAAGCTTATTACTTCATTACCTCCTTAAGCTTTCCACTGGTGAAGGTTGGAGACAGCAATGTTCTTAATCTCTTCCATTCTTCATTCTCAGATACGGTGATAGCTTTTTTCAAAATTCCTACTGGACCAAAAACCTAGACTCCGGAGCAAAAAAGATGTTGCCATATATAAGCTTGGAGAACACCACAGTTGAAAAAAAAAAAAAAGGTATAATTTATTTAAAAATATTTATGACTCTATAGTTAGTCAATGTAATGTGTTCAAAGAATATTTGTTCCAAAGGCCTAACCCCAGGGGAGGGTGGAGGTGGCCCCCTGCCAATGCATATGGCGTAGGACTTTATAATCTGGCCTGCTTCTTCTACAGAAGCCCCAGATGACTGCAGAGCCACTGTTTCAGAGACCAGATAGCAACAGTCCTTGGCATATCCTTCCGGTCTGTGCCAAGTAGGAAGGAACTGGTGACAACTGGTGGCCTTGTAAAGACAGGGCAGTCATATATTTACACATATTCGTAGGAAGAGCTTTTCTTGATAAAGAGGTGATAAAAATGATTTGAGAAAAAAATGACTTGAAAGCATATAGGCGTCATGTGGGAGAATTATCGCAAGTCTATAAAAAATCTCTTTTCTTTCTGATTTTCTTTAGGTATAGATGATGGTGCTGTCTACAGCTTGGCACCACCTCCTCAAATCCTATGCCCATCAAGAAAACATGTTTTGTACAAAATGGACATTTTTGTCATTCTGTATTTAAAAATGAGAATGTTTTGTGTTTGATATCTATAAATGAAAAAAAACCCTCACCTATGATATCAAAATTGAATCTAACATAATAAGCATAGAGGAAAATCACTGTTTTCAGCGTTTTTCACCATTGGTGTGCGTGTGTGATTCCTTGTGTGCATGTGCAGAGGGAAGGGGAGGACATCAGGTGTCCCGCTTTGTCACTCCACCTTACTGTTTTGAGACAGGGCCTTCACTGAACCTGAAGCTCCCTGTTCCATCTAGGCTGGCTGGGGGGCTCCTGGAATCCACCTGCCTGCATCTAGTGCTGGGGTTATGGCAGCGATAGCTGTGGCAAACTTTTTTTTTTATGTGAGATACCAGAAAAATAAGCAAAGATGTGGCGGCATTTCTAAGGTAAATGAGAGTAGGGAAGACAGCATGAAGCACAATCACTCTCACAATCATTCCACAGAAATGAACTACTAAGAGCACTGATTGCTCTTCCAGAGGACCGGGACTGGGTCCCTGCACCCTCATAGCAACTTGTAACCCTCTGTAACTCCAGTTCCAGGGGTTTTGATGATCTTATCTAGCTCCTTAGGATGTAGCGTGCACAGACACACACACACACACACACACACACGCACACACACACACACACACAATAAAGCAATAAAAATAAATAACTAAAGAAGATGACATATTTTAGGTATGACTCTAACAAAAATGTACAGTATTCTAGAAGCTGTAAAAGTATTGGTGAAGGAAATCAAACAAAATGTGAAAGAACGGAGAAGCATATCACATTTTGAGACCAGAGGGTTCTGCCGGGAAGATGGGTCACCAGGCAGGAGCACCTTTCTTTCTCTTAAGCATGAAGAGCGAAGTTTGACCAACACACATGAGCTGATATGATGCCACGCCAGAATGTTTTCCCCTGGTTTGTGTGTGTTTATGTGAGTGTGTGTACTTTTCACAGATGAGGGCAGGTGTGTGTGTGCCATGACATGCGTGGTGACCAGAGGACAACCTTTGGACATTGGTCTTCACTTTTCCACCTTGTTTGACTTAGGCCAGGGCAGCTGGCCTGCAAGCTTTCCCAAATTCTGTCCTTACTTCCATATCATCATAGGTGTGTACTGGGAGTACACGTGTGTGCTGTGTGCAGCTTTTACATGGGTTCTGGGGAGCTGAGCACAGGTTGTGTTCTAAGTGCTTTTATATATTGAACCATCTTCCCAGACTCCAGGTATTTTTTTCCCCTACAGGTGCAAAAGCGACTCAGTTATGTCAGAAAAACTGGAAAGACAGAAGAAAAAAGAGGAAAAAGAATGTTGCCATAAATCTGATACTCATATAAAACTTAACACAAAATAGATCACAGACTCAGACTTAAATCTTAACACTGTATGTGAATTTGAGACCAGCCTGGTCTACAAAGGGAGTCCAGAATAGCTACGGCTACACTGAGAAACCCTGTCTCAAAAAATCACATGACAAAAACAATAAAAACAAAAACAAATCCACCCCCCAAACCCCCCCCAAAAAAAAAACCCAAACTGTAAAGTTTAGTAAAGAAAAACAGGCAACAAACAAGGAGTTTTCTGGGATACATTTTGAGACATGTTACCAAAGCATAATCTAGATGTGTTTGCATCCTTCAAATAAGAGTTTTTCTTCCCTTACATTTGTTAAAGCACAAACGTTGCTGAAAATGTGTGGGAAATGAACTATTTTATTATTCCGCTGGTGAGAATGCTAATTTGTGCAGTCACTATGGAAACCAGTGTGGAGGATCCTTATATGCCTAAACATTTAACTCCATATGATCCACCATGATGGGTATAAGTGAAGGGAACTGAGCTCAGCACACTGCAGCCCATGTACCCGTGGTTTTGGTGGTTCTATTCATAATAGCCATGCTGTAGGATCACAGCTTAGGCATTGTTCTAAGTTGCTTTCTGTTGCTGTGATAAACTCTTCGGCCAGAAGCAACTTGTAGGTGAAAGATTTTATTTTAGGTTACATGTTGTAATCCATCACTGAGGGGCGCCAAGTCAGGAACTTAAGCCAAGAGCTCAAGGCAGAAACCAACAGAGGCAGGCTGTTCCCTGGCTTGCTCCCAGCCTCGTGTTCAGTTACCTTCTTTATACAGTCAAGGTCATTCTGCCTAGGAATGGTACTACCCATAGTGGGCTGGGCCCTCCTATATCATTTAACAATCAGGAAAATGCCTCACAGATATGCTCATAGGCCTGACAGAGAAAATTCTTCAACTGAAGGTCCCTTTTCTCGGATATGTCAAGTTGACATCAAGATTAGGCATCACAGGTGCCCATCAATAGGTGAATGGATAAAGAAAACATCACACACACACACACACACATTCTCGAGTTTGATTTGGCCACAAGAAGAACAAAATCATGCCATTTGCATAAACATAGATAGAAGTGGAGGTCATCACGTTTACAGAACTAAGCCAGCTTCAGAAATACAAGTGTGACATTCTTCTTGTGCAGTATCTATCTTAAATGCCAATAAAAATAGGAGTTATATTTGGGAAGAAGACCAGAGGAAAAGGGAAATGTAAGACAGTAATGGAAGGATGGTTATAAAGTACATTATATACAGTAAGAAATGTCATAAGAAAACTCATTCTTTTGCATAATAAAATGTGCTAATAAGGGAGGAAATAAGATAGATTCCCGTTAAGAAGTAGAGTTAAGCTATACATGGTCACTCGATCAGACCAGTGAGAGGGAGCCCTATCCACACTGAAGGGAGAGTTCTGTGTCTTAACTGTTGGTTGTTCCAGATAGGTACACCTGTGTTAATTCTGTATGGCATTATATATGTATACATACACAATAGGGTATATAAAATAGATGATAAGTGAACAATATATGAATTTTATTAATTTGCTGTCACAGAGACATAGCAAATTTACAGATATTACCATTGGAAAAATGGGGAAGGACAGATGGACGCTTCTTGCACAGTTTTGTCCAGTTCCCTATGATGCTATGATTACGTCATGATAAGAAGCTAATGCATAAACATGACACTGGGGAGATGGCTCAGTGGTTAAGAGTGCTTGCTGCGTATGTTTAAATCCCAAGCACCCACTTCAAAAGCTAGGCCTGGGCAGGTGTGTAACCCCAGCTGTGTGAGCAGCAGAGACAGGAAAATGCTGGGGGTTTCTGGCCGCTGGGTTTAACTCCAAGTTTATCAAGAGATGCCATCTTATGGGAATGAGAGAGTGACAGAGAGTAGCACCTAACCTACACAGGTGTGCCTACACTGCACATCTAACACACACACACACACACACACACACACACACACACACACACACCAAAACACCTACCTAATGCATAAATACATGAAGACATGTTGAAATAATTTTAAACATGGAGGCCTACCCGCCGGTTTGTGAAAGTAGAATAACATTCCTTCACCAGCACTGTTTTGATTATGTCTGGATCCATGATAGCCAAAACAGGTTGTCGGCCCTCATAAAACCTGCATCGGGAAAGCAGAGAAGATTCAACTGACCATCTAGATTTTCTAGTTGGAGGCAAGCTCAGGAACCGAGACGTTGATTCAGATGTCACAAGACACATAATCCAAATTGTGTAGTACACAGCTATGTAAGATCCTAGTTCAAGCCAGGAGTTCTGACCTATCACAGGAGCCTTCATGAGAAGTACAACGTAGCTGATGCAGGAAGGGGCAGTCACAAAACAGCTCCACAAAGAGATCACACTTGGAAATAAATGGAAACTATTATTAAATGTGGTGGTGCATACACGAATATTGAACTGAATAGCCAGACACTCTGCAGAAAGTCAGGTGAGCCATTCCTGGGCCATCAGGTCTAAGAGAAAAGTAAAAATATTCGAGTTTCTCAGACTAATTAAGTCTGTGAACCATGACACCTGGAGACATATGGGATCCTTGGTTGTAAAAGCCTCGAAAATACTTATAATCATCCTTCAGCCCAAGAGGCTATAGTCCATGGCTATCTTCCAGGCACTGAGATACGTAATCATTTCAAGTAAACCAATGGAAGTTACTTACCCCCATATTTTACCATATTTTTTGTGACATTGTCTGTCAAACTCCCAAAATCCCTGGGAAGAGAAAAGACATGAAAACTCATTATTGTTATTTTTACATTTATTTAGTGTGTGTGTGTGTGTGTGTGTGTGTGTGTAATAGAGGACCTCATCTGGTAGTCACGTCTCTCCTCCTGCCATGTGGGTTCCAAGGACCACACTCAGGTGGCCAGGATTGGTGGCAGACACATTTGTCAGCTGAGCCACCGTGCTGCCCCATTTTAAACAGATTGCCCTTATCTAACTGGGGCACAAATGATTTGAATTTTACTAAATCAAGCTTACTATCTATCACCGGCAATAAGGGGAATGCTCTCATTCTTGTGTATCTGAGTGGGAAGGAGAGAGAACACAGGAGATATCTGAAATGAGGACCTTGAACTTGTTCAGAGTTTTCTCCCAATTTTGCACATGCATGGTCACTTGCTCCTGTCCATGAATAACAGTGAGTCCATGTCTCTCTAAAGTGTGTTTGCTCTCCCACGTGTCATCCCTAAATGCCCAAGGACTCTGAGTCATTCCTTTCATAGGCACAAGAGGAGACGAGTGAAATGAACAGGAGGAACGATCCCAGGAACAGGCGTCATCCTGTAGCTCCATAGTTAAAGCACATTTTGTTTACCTCATAAGCTTTCCCTAGAACACCAGAGGAAGTAGAATCTAGGACAAACTCAGGATCTCTTTTTTCTTCATCAATTCATTTATTTAGTCACGTTATAGCCTGATCAAAGACCCCTCCCTTCTTTCTTCTCAGTTCCACCATCACAGCCCTCCCTCCATTCCTCTTCCCCTTCTCCTCAGAAAAGGGTACCAACCACCCTGGCACATCAAATCAGAGAAGGACTGTGAGCTTCTTCTCCCACCAAAGCTAGACAAGGCAGCCCAGCTATGGGAAAGGGATCCAGAGGCAGGCAACAGAGTCAGAGACAGCCCCTACTCCCATTGTTAGGGGGCACACATGAAGACCAAGCTGCACCTCTGCCAGATGTGTGTGGCTCTTTGGTTGGCGGGTCAGCCTCTACGAGCCCCCACAGGCATAGGTTGGTTTCCTCTGTAGGTCTTCTGGTGGTATCAGGACCTCTTTTAATCTAGAGAGTGGGTGAGTCTCAGGCACATTGCTGAGTGAGCAAACAAGTGAGCAAAGAATGACAGACAAATTGCTTCTCAGGGTTTCTACGGAACACAGAAAGATGGACACAACTACACGAAACATTACTGCTTGTGGTGGCTTCAAAGAAAATGTCCCCCTAGGCCTTTATGGAGTGGCACTATTAGGAGGTATGGTCTTTGTTGTAGGAAATGATCACTGGGGGGTGGGCTTTGAGGTCCCAGATGCTCAAGCCATGCCCAGTGTGGCAGTCACTTCCTGCGCCTCCAGATCCAAGGGTAGAACTCTCCAGCACCAAGTCTGTCTGCATGCTGGTACACTTCTGGTCATGATGGTAATGGACTAAACCTCTGAACTGTAGCCAGCCCTAATTAAATGTTTCTTTTATAAAGAGTTGCCGTGATGTTTCATCATAGCAATAAAACCATAACTAAGACATAAATTAAGCATTTTCTTTGACTTTTTACTTCCTGTACTTGTTTGTTTTAATCATCAACTCGACAGAGCCAATGATATGAGAAGGGAGTCTCCACTGGGAGATTTTTAAGATCAGATTGGACCATGGAGTCAATATCTATGGGGTTTATCTAATATGGATAATTGTTGTAAGAGGCCCAGATCACTATTACATGGGCAGACACTTCTGAGCTGAATAAGAAAGATAGCCAAGAAGAACCTAGAGAGCCAGAGAACAGGATTCCTCCATGTTTTTTTTTGCTCTTTTTTTTTTTTTTTGCTCAAGCTCCTGCCATGACAGCTTTCAATGAAGAATCCCAACCAGTACAATAAGCTAAAACCTTTCATTTTCTAATTTACATGGTTCACAATGTTTTGTTTTAAAGACTTATTGTTATTTTATGTGTATGGGTGTTTGCCCGCCTGAATGTATGTGCAACTGTGTGCATGCCCAAGGAGGTAAGAAGGTGTTAGAGCCCCTGAGGCTGGAGTTAGAGATGTCAGCTGACATGTGGCTGCTGAGAACCAAACTCAGGTTCTTTGTAAGTGAAGCAAGTGTTCTGAATCATCTTGCCAGCTCCTTTGTTCAGAATGGTTTAAAGTGACAACAGAAAGAAAACTAGAGGTACATCTACACAATGGAATATTACTCAGCAATAAAAAACAAGGAAATCATGAAATTTGCAGGTAAATGGTGAAAACTGGAAAAGATCATTCTGAGTGAACTAGCTCAGAAGCAGAAAGACATACACGGTATATACTCACTCATATAGACATAATTTAGGATAAACCTACTAAAACCTGTACACCTAAAGAAACTAATCAGGAGGGAGGACTCTGGTTAAAATTCTCAGTCCCCACCCCGAAAGGCAAAGAGGATAGACATCAGAAGAAGGAGAAAACAGGGAAAAAGTTAGGAGCCTGCCACAGAGGGCCTCTGAAAGGCTCTGCCCTGCAGACTATCAAAGCAGATGCTGAGACTTATGGCCAACTGTTGGGCAGAGTGCATGGAATCTTATGAAAGAAGTGGGAAATAGTAAGATCTGAAGAGGACAGGAGCTCCACAAGGAGAGCAACAGAACCAAAAAATCTGAGCACAGGGATCTTTCCTGAGACTCATATTCCAACCAAGTACCAGGCATGGAGATAACCTAGAACCCCTGCACAGATGTAGCCCCTGGCAGTTCAGTGTCTAAATGGGTTCCATAGTAATGGGAACAGGGACTGCCTCTGACATGAACTGACTGGCCTGCTCTTTGATCACCTCCCCCTAATGGGGGAGCAGTCTAACCAGGCCACAGAGGAAGACAATGCAGCCACTCCTGATGAGACCTAGTAGACTAGGATCAGAAGGAAGGAGAGGAAGTCCTCCCCTATCAGCGGACTTGGGGAGGGGCATGAGTGGAGAAGGGGGCAAGAAGGTGGGATTGGGAGGAGAGGAGGGAGAGGTTTATGCGGAGATACAAAGTGAATGAAGTGTAATTAATAAAAACTAAAATAAAAAATATTAAAAAAAGAAAACTAGAAAATGTTTGAAACTGAAAAAAAGAGAAACGAGACAAAATGAAACAAAGCAAAGCTTCTACAAAGTTTCATTTATGATGTTTTTAGCCACAAAAACAAAAGCTGCCAGTGAGATGGCTTAGTAGGTAAAGGTATCTGCCACCCAAGCTTAATGACCTGATCTCAAGGACCCACATGGTTGAAGAAGAGAACCAGCTCTCCTTGACATTGCCCAGAGGGCCAGGACCCAGAGGCTGGACAGCCCAGAGACTCAGGCTAGGACCAGACACACACAAATGGTGGAAGAGTCCATGAAATGATTCCTAATGATATCCTGCTATACTAGGAGATTGGTGCCCAGCCAAACTGCCTTCAGGGAGGCTCCCTCCAGTGACTTATGGAAACAGAAACGGAGGCCCACAGCCAAACATTAGGTAGATCGTGGGGAATCCTGCAGAAAAGGGGAAGGAAAGATCACAGGAGCTGGAGGGGTCAGGACGTCACAAGAAAACCCACAGACTCCCCTGGGCTCATAAGGGCTCACAGGGATTGAGCCTCCAACCAGAGAGCATGCATGAGGCTGATCTCGGCCCTTGGCATGTTACAGTTGTGCAGCTTGATCTTGTTGTGGGACTCCTAACAGTGGAAGCAGGCGCTGTCTCTGACCCTGTTGCCTTCTTCGGGACCCTTTCCCTCTAAAAGGCTCATCCAAACTTAATAGGAGAAGATGCATCTAGTCTTATGGCAACTCTGTATGTCATGGTTGGTTGATATTCATGGGAAGTCTGCCCTTTTCTGGAGAAAAATGTGGAAGTATGTGGGTTGGGGGAAGAGGAGAGGAGCAGGGAGGAGCCGAAAGGAGAGGAGGGAGGGGGACTGCAGTTAGGATGTGAAAAAATAAATAAATTGATTAAAAAAAGAGAGAATCAACTCTCACTGTTATTCTCTAACCTTTGTGTTCACATCACCACACACACACACACACAAACACACACAGACGCTAAATAAAAAAGGATTCCAGAGGCAGTACTGTCCTTTGCTGGAATATGTACTGGAAAAATCAAACACAATTTTTTTTTGAGTCTCAGATATTAACAACAAATCCTCATCATGAGAACATACATGCCAGAGGGCTGAGCTGATCAGCGGCACCGAAGCAACATGAGAACTGTTAGGAGATCTGGCCTCTCCAGGGGCAGGACCCAAGCCAGCGCTGGCACCACAAGCCAGGTGGGGCTCCCATTCCACACTTACATTGCGGTACGCTAGAACATTTCCCACGAAGGGCAGCGGTTTCGGTCCAGAAATCCCCCACTTCTTAAAATTTCCATGTGTGTGAGTTCCATACCTGTAAAGTGAGGGATGAAGGTATTAGGGCTTGTCACGGGGCATCACGTGTACCAGTCCCAGCCACGGAATCGTAACCATCACGCTGGAGTGGAGGATAACAAGGACCACCAAAAGCTTCAGCAGCCGCCGCCTCCGCCTCTGCTCGTCCTCATTTCTGCCCTCACGTTTTCTGAGACTCCCCAAACCCGCAAAGGTTAGCTAAACTTGTAGATGAATTTATTTTTGGCTCTAAGTCCGAAAGTAAACTATTTACAACCATCCCCAGCTTCGCTGCTCATGTGATGAGACTCAGCTAGAACACTAATACATCATTTTATTCGCTTGTGTCATTTATGAAATGGATTGGATGCCAGTGGGTGTCTGCCCCTCTACTGACCTCTGTGGGGCTGCAATCCGCAAGCATATCCGAGGGGTTTTCTTATTTCCTCCTAACTCAGCGGTTCTCAACTTTCCTAATACTTCAACTCTAACACAGTAACTCATGGTGTGGTGACAACCCCCCCCCCCATAACACTATTTTCATGGCTACTTCGTAACTGTAATTTTGCTACTGTTATGCATCAAATTGTAAATATCAGATGAGCAGGGTATATAATATGTGACCCCATGAAGCGATCAAGAGCCACAAGTTGAAAACTGGTGTTCTAACTCATACCTGGGTAGAATTTACATCATCGCTGGCCCATCCTCTTCCTCAGCCACCCACACTGAGAGAGCCACATGACCTAATGGAAAGGCACAGCAACAACTGTGGAATTATAAAACCTGCTAAGCAAGTTTATTTCAATGCATACAGACCCTCTCTATGCATTACGCTTACATTCCTGACATTTATAAACAGATGAAGTCACTTTACACTCAGCTGTTGTTGAAAATACTGACAGCCCCACATAACCCCTCTGAAAGAAGTGCTGGTCTTCTCATAGAAGCTGTGGGATCAGGTAGAATGAAATGAAACCTTTCCAATTAATTGCAAAGCACGATCAGATGAAAGATGTCGCCACAATACCTCAAATGTTTAGCCTTTCCTTCAAAGAATAAAGCCATGTTTGAGAATTCTATTTTTACATCACCGCGAGTATCTGTCTTTTATTAATGTAAAATGGTGACAGAAGTCAAATATGATGCTTTGGTGGTGCTGATGGGGAGCATCTCCTTTCCACAGACACATAGGAATGTGTTCTCTCTCTCTCCCTCTCTCTCTCTTTCTCACACACACACACACACACACACATGCAGTTTAGTGAGCTGTCCAGGTGGTCACATTTGTTACCCTGGAACTCAGGATCACTTCTTTCTTCCCTTGTACCATTATGAAATCATCACAATGTGGAATGGAAGTGCCAAAACAGAGGTTTCGACCAATGCTCCCAGTGGAACTTAGAAGGAAAATATTTTAAATCCAAATTGTTTCAGAGTGTGTGCCTTTTGAGGATGCCAGCAGATTTCATAGCAGGGGAGAAGTAACTCCCTGTACTGATGCTTTGGGATTTGACAGGAAATGGTGGAGGGGGAAAAAAAATCAAGTCTTTTTTACTTCAAAGGGTCATGATTTAGAAGAAAAATTTTCTGCATATTATGTAGAAGATCTAAGTTTGGAGAGGCAGAGAGCTCCAGGGAGGAGTAAATAAAAGAGGGAATCTGAGCCGACCCTAGAGCCTGGGGTACACCAGGAAAAATGCATAAATGGTCCCAGAGGTGGGACAAGGGAGCAGGAAGTAGCCATGTGCGCATGGGGCCACCCTCCGCATCTCCTGCATCAGAGAGAACAGAGGTGAAGATGGCACCAAAGCTCCTCCTGTTCCCACAGCCTGAGACCTTGCAGAAGGGAACTCCCACCAAACACAGTGACCAGATAGTTGTGATCTGCTTCTGCTGAGCTCTGGTTGGTTCATCTTGGGAAAGACCGAGACTCAGTCAAGGAACAATTCAAGTCTAACCTAGGCTATCCAATCCTCCTATCCACAGAAAGTGGAGTTCAGTAGAAGAGGAATGTCTACTTACCCCCTTGGAGGGATTTGCAACACCTTAGGTCTTTGCCACATCCTACACTCAAGCAATGTCCCTTTCATTTTTCTCTTTAGATTTTCCAGGCTGGTAAAGGAAAGAATTGTCTGATTCACATCCTCAAGTCCTGATCACAGAGAAGAGGAGCCTGGCAGTTTACTCACAGGTTGAGGAGCACCAGGCTGGTGGCCAGGAGCATCCAGGTTTCCACAGAAAAGTCTGGGATCAGGTCCATGGCTGCTTTCTTTAAACAAGTCTCTCTCCCCAAGTTTTGCCATCAGTTTTGTGTGCTGCACCTTGCAGGGCTGAGCCTGATGAGCTCTCTTCACTGGCCAGCTGTGTGTGAGTCAAGGCCAGCCTGTAGTGCTTAAGTACTGGAAAAGGGGGTGGGGCTGACTGAGAGGCCAGCCTCACCCACAGTTCTAAGACTTCAGTGTACTCTTCACCTGGGCAGTTGGCAGAGAATCATGGGTGTGACAACTTTGATATCTGAACTTGTTTTGTAGACATATCAATGAAAAATACAATCTGTGTTATCACTGGATCCAAAAGTTATTGCTTCTTATCAAAAACTCAGGTAAAGTTATTGGCTTTAACCTCAAGTCTGTCCTTTTGCCCAGGGCTGCTTTCCACCCCCACCCCAATACCCAAGTGAGCTGCACCTGTGGGTATTTTTTTTTTAAAATTCACTTCCCTCTGTCTATAATATCCTCTGTCTCAGAGAAGACACTTATTCATTCTTCAAAAACCCATTCTTTAAAATTCCATCTGGTAGACTCCTTTCTCAGTAACCTGATTAAAAAAAAAATACAAAAAAAAACCCATAAAAAAACAAAACAGCAACAACAATAAAAAAAAACATAGTCTCCTGGACAGCCTTTATTATGCCTAGGAAACAATTTTATTTCTTTTTCTCTGAGAATATTATTGGTTTCCACACATGTTTTCATTACCATGTCAAGAGCTTCTGCAAGACATAGTCATAATGTCTCTAGTCCCTAATAGAATGCTTTAAAAAGCTGGCCTCTAGAAGGTTGAGATGAAGTTGTCTTCTCTGTGTCCATTTCCTGTGAACCAATTACTTCATGTTCCTGAGTCATAAAAGCAAGCGTGTTCACTTATACCCAGTCTTCTTCCTGACACATGCAGGCCGGTCACATGGAGCTGGAGGATGTCTCAAGAGTTTAGAGCACGGTCTGCTCTGCCAACGGACCAGGGTTCAGTTCCTAGTGTCCAGATGGTGGCTCACAGTCGTCTGTACTTGAGCTTCAGTGGATCCAGCTCCCTCTGGCCTCCATGGGCTCTGTACTCATGTGCTGCACAGACATCCATGCAGACAACCCCCACCACAAAAACTCCTGTTGGTGTGTATATGTGGTGTGTGTTCACGATAGTAGGGGAGAGTTACTAGGGATTATGCAAATTCCCGATTTGCATACAGAGAGGGAAAGGTGTCACAGACAGATGATAAAGATGGCAAATATCTGGCTTCATCCTTCTGCTGACTTGAAACAAAGGCCTGGCAGGCTTTACAACAAGTTACAAGATGGGAGCCGGGTATTTTTTTTTTAAATTAACCAATCATAAATTACGGGAAGAACCTGGTTTAGTGCACCCCAGCGCTTAAAGCTCGAAGCCCTCAAGAAGAGGCTGGGCTTCAGCTTCTTGAATCCCCTTCTGTTTTCAGGGTTCTTTCTCTGTGCATGCTTTGCTGTATGCATGCTTCTTCACCTTCAGTGAAAGGGGTTTTCAACAGTTGACCCCACCTGCTGTGCCTGAGTTTCCCCACTGCTCTCTGCTCTGCTTCAGTTCTTCCTGCCTTTTAATTCTTTACCTGGCCAACAGAAAAACTCGATCCAGAACCCTTGATGGTGTTAGCCGTGTGTGTGTGTGTGTGTGTGTGTGTGTGTGTGTGTGTACATGTGCAAGCACACGTGCCTGTGGGGGTTCATAGCAGATCTCCTAATCACAGCCCATCTTATGTATTTGTCAGCACTTCTCACTTGGACCCTGAGCTTTCTAGTTTGATTCACCTGACTGGCTCACCTGCTCTGTGGTTCCTCTGGCTCTCCATCCCACACGAGGGATGACAGGTGGTTCACTAAGCCAGAGGTTGTGTGCAGAGAATCAGACTCTGGTCCTTAATGCTTGCATAGAAGACAATTCATCCATGGAGCCATATCTCAGTACCCAAGTTAGTAAAATTCTTAACCAAAGAATGTGGAGTCTCTGAAAAGACTTCACATCTAAGATGAATGTGTTCATCTAAGATAAAACGTTGAGATTTCAGAAGATGACAGTGGCCTGAAAAGACAGACGGACCACAAGCACTTTGACCACCAATCTATGGCAGATATTACGGCATATGGCATTCAAGGGTGACTTGGAGTCTAAAATAAAATATGATTCCAGCTATAGGCTCGGGGAAAAGGAGTATAAAACCAGACACGACCCTGCTTTCAGATAAATGAATGATTGCTCCATAAACATAGAGTAGGGTCCGTCCAGAAGTTAAGTTAGAAATTATACCTGGGGCCCTGCCTTTGAAGGCTGTATGTTCTTTTATCAGATTCTTTAAGTTCCTCTTGTCCTCACTCTCCCCTCATTCCCTTCTCACCTGCCACTAGTAAGCAGTTTTGATCTGACACATGCTTCCCGCCTTGATGTCTCATTCAGACTTGCAACATGCCCAAAGCAATTTATCAAAATAAGAACTCCTGACATTATGAGCCAAAGCTTATCTTTCCTCCCTTGCTTAGGGTGTTTATCTGAGGGATTTTCTCATTTTTATGGAAAGTTACTATGAATAACATATGAAAATGACGTGAATAAGTGAGGTCATTGAATGACTGTGAGACTCAGAAACCTGTGGAACTTGTTTCCAGAAGAATAAGAAAAAAAATCTGGGAAGGAAGCTAGAGCTTAGGCTGCTGTTAGTGGAGGCTGACAGATGATTGTAGTGTTAACACGGAGGATTGTAGTGTTAACACTGCATCAGTGTGGACATAGAATCCTGGCTGATGGTGTTTCAGATGGAAATGACTAACTTTGTTGGATTCTTTTGGGGGAACCAGAGGCCATTCATGCTACATGCTGGCAACAAACATGTTTGCATTTTATCCATACCCAAGAGTGTTGGAGAGTGAGTCTAAAGGTGATGGGCTAATTATCCGGGAAAATGTAAGGTAACAGGGCATTAAGATTGTTGGTGTGGTTACTGCAACCTGCCTCTAGCCAGATTTATCAGGAGAGAAAGGAGTACAATGCAAAGAGAAAATACGTGAAAAGTTTGCAGCTTGGTAAGGACCCATACACAGATATATAAAGTTGGGGACAAAATAGTGTGGCTATTAAAGAGATCAGTGTTATTTAATAAAAGATGAAGTATTTTTGATTTGTATTTCCATGGTGACTAAAGATGCTGAACATTGTGGGCTGGAAAGATGGCTCAGCAGTTAAGAGTACTATCTGCTCTTCCAGATGTCCTGACTTCAATCCCAGCAATCACATGGTGGCTCACAACTATATCTGTAGTTGCTCATATCTATACTGGGATCTGATGCCCTCTTCTGGCATGCAGGTGTACATGAAGGCAGAGTACTCATGTACATAAAATAAATAAATAAATCTTAAAAAAAAGATGCTGAACATTTATTTCTTGATTTTTTCCCCATTTCTAGTTAATCCTTTGAAAGGTCCATTTAGTTTCTGTTCTAGCTAGTTTTATGTTAACTTTTGACACAAGGCAAAGACATTTTGAAAGAGGAAACTTCGATTGAGAAAATATGCCTGCCAGATTGACTTGTGGGCAAGTGTTTAGTGCATTTTCTTAATCAGTGGGTGATGCAGGAGGACCCAGCCCCCTTCAGATGGTGTTACATCTGGGCTGATGGTCCTTGGTGCTATAAGAGAGCAGGCTGAGCCATCCATGAAGTCAGTCATAAAGCCGTGTTCCTGCATGGTCTCTGCACAGTTCATGCCCTCAAGTTCTTGCCCTGCTTGAGCTCTTGACCCAATTTCCTTCAGTGATGGACTATGATGTGGGAGTGTGGTGGTTTGAATGAGAATGGCTCCCATGGGAGGTTCAGATACTTGGTGGAGCGATTTGGGAAGGATTGGACGGTGCAGTCTTATTGGAGGAGGTAGACGTTGAGGTTTCAGAAGACAGCACCATTCCAGCTGGCCCTCTATCTGCCTGCAGTTGCTTTTCCAACATGGAAGCTCCCAGCTACTGCTAGAGCACCACACTGTTGCCTGCTGCCATGTTCCCTGCTGCCATGGCTGCCGACGAACCCCTTGAAATTGCAAGCAGTAAACCTTGGGCATGGTGTCTCTTCACAACAATAGCAAGGAACTATGACAATGGATATTCAATGTTGTCTATAAAGTTAATATAAAGGGAGATTTAGGATTGCTTTAGCTGGTGCTAGGGATGGGCTCAGATGGTAGAATGCTTGCTTAACATCCACGAGGCCCTGGGTCCTGTGGAAGTGATGAAAGAAAGACGGGAGGATCTGGAGCTGACAGGAACTTCACAAGAAGATGAACAGAGCCAACCAACCCAGTCCCATGGGGACTTACAGAGACTGAGACACCAACTAAGGAGCAGGCATGGTCTGGACCTAGTCTCCCTGCACACATGTGGCCGATGGGTGGCTTGGTCTACATATGGGGCACCTGGAGAGTAGAGATTGGGGGACTGTTTCTAATATGGACTCTACTGCTTGCTTTTCGATTACTCCCACCTACCAGAGCTGCCTTGCCTGGCCTCAAGGGATGAAGATATGCTCACTTGATGTGCCTGGAAAGGTTGATATGGGAGAGAGGAGGGCTCCCCTTTTGGGGGGGAGGGAGAGGAGAAGGGGGAATAAGGGGAAGGGGGACTGGAAGGAAAGGAGAAAGGGGGACCCTTGGGATATAGAATAAATAAACAAAAATAAATAAATAAATAAATAAACAAACAAATAAATAAATAAATTTTAAAAAATTCAATAGGCCAATGAACATGAGCTTTTAATAAAGAGTTCTGAATCATGGGCTGAAGAGACCACTTTGAAACCAGGCTGCTCTTGCAAGGGACCTGGTTTTGGTTTCCCTTTATGCAAATGGGGGCTCACAACCTTTTAACATTGACAGCACAGCTATAGTCATTTATGAGTTTAATGGCTTCCTTTACTGACATCTGAAATTAAACTTTAACTTTTTAGGGAAACTGAAAAAAGATAAGCATATCAATATTGATAACGGGTTTATGTCACTGTGTGGTTAATTTTAGCTCAACGTACTATAATTATCACCCTGTCTTTATTTGCAACCAAAAATGGA